TTTTCAAGATTATGAATTTCACATTATACTTAAGAAAACTAGGTATACAGCAAGCTTTATTGCTTTATTTCTTTATTTGATTTTTATGGCCACCCATCTCAAATAACTGACTCTTGCACTGCTCTTCTCTTTGTTTTTCCTATTTCCTTTCATTATTTACATCAATGTGCGTTTTTTTATGAAGCCGTATATTCTTCTACAAAATAAAATTATGAGTTAAAACATTACCAATGTAATGCTAGCTATTGTATTTTATCTGCTTAAGGAGCCATTACAAATGGGTTTCCTTCATATTTTTCTGTTCTTCTTGACAGCCTAGCCCATCCTAGACAGCCCCCTGTAAGACCAGTTTGATCCTTATTTGTCTCTTTCCATCAGCTGATAAAGAAATCAATGGGCTGGGGCTGCGAAGGCTGTTTTGAAGGAGGCGTTACTTATCCTTCATCTATAACTGCATATAGGATCTAATAAGCTTGATTAAACAGAGAAATATGTACAGCAAAGCTCAGAACCTCTCCAATTTGCAAATAGGTTTCTGATTTGATATTAAATGTATGGACATTTTAATTTGGAAAACAAAAGTCCAAATTTCGATTATATTGATTACATCTTATACAGTATGGAATTTGGGGGGAAAGGGTTGAAAAAATGAAATGAAGACAAATATTTATCATCATAAAAATTAGATATATTTAAAGTTTCATACAGTAATAATTAATTGTTACTGCTATTGTGAAATAGAATGGAATTACAGTATATAAAGTAAGAATGTTTGATATAAATCTCTCTTCTTCACTTCTGGAAGCTACATATAGAGGAATGTTTCCAGCTTTCATTATTTTGAGTTTTGCAATTTTGTTTGGGAACTTACATCAATTTCATATCTTCTTACTGAACCATATATTATTTATGGCTTAAAAAAATGAATATACAATGATAGTGACTCTTCACAACCGGTCTTCCTCCATGGTTTTCTCACTTTCTGGGCTGTCCTGCTCATCCCTGAAGACTCTTTGCAGAGCAACCCTCATTGATGCTCTGGGCTGATCCCTTCCTGACTGTTTACTCCCAACTAAGAAATAGAGGAGGGGGTTGATGCTGCTGTTGAGACCAGCACATCCTATGCCAATTGTCATGAGAATGTAATGAGGGGGATCCAAATATTCTAAGACATAAACGACATTCATTGGGACAGAAAAAAGGAGGAAGAAAAGGAGAGCCAACAAGATGGCGGTCAGCAGCTTCCTTTGCTTGCGTTGTGCTTTCGAGCCCACGTGGAACAAGAGGGTCACAGTGGACACAACCATGAGCGGCGTG